TGTGTGTGTGTGTGTGTGTGTGTGTGTGTGTGTGTATAGAGAGAGAGAGAGAGAGAGAGAGAAAATACATAGCCATTTTCAGGATTTGAATCCTTTTTCTGACTTTTACCTTGCATTCACCCAAATATAAGTACACAAAGCTCAATTTTTCATAACAGGGTCCTTTCCCCTGACATCTGTTACACTGAAAATTCTCTAAGATACTCAAGGTTGTATTGTATTTTAAATAGTAGTGAATTTGTATAGAAATTTAACTTACATATAACATTCCTCATATCCTTTGTATAAACACCCTGATGAACACCTAAATAAAAAGTAAAATAATTTTTAAAGCTTATGGACTGAAGTTGGAGACACTACCACCTTTTTTTCTCTCCTTAAGAGCTTCCAGGATGTCTGTTGCACAAAGTTCTCCTATAGCGTTGCCATCTAGATCAAGTTCTATCAAGTGTTCAGAATGTTTGATTAGGCTGCATTTAAGAACAACAACAAAAAACCTGAAATCTGCTGTAAGTAAAAAACAATGTTATACATTGGTAAATAAAACACAAGTATTTTAATGTGGAATGTAATTAATGCCAAAGATCTAATGTTAAACAACTGAAACAAAAGCCATCATTCTTTGATCATTCTTCTGTCTAGTGACCTGATCCAAAACCATTACTCTCATTGATTTCAGCGGGCTTTGGATCAGCCCCCAAATGAGTACATGGCTCCTCTTATAGGTTTCCTTTTAGAAAATGTGTGCATTTATTCACTACGATTCTTTTCAGCTAATAATTTGAATAGAAATCCTCAGTAATAAACACAGTAACACTGCCTGATTCCACGTATTGGATTCCCATTGAGTTCAAAGCATGTGAGATGTCAGTTCCCTAATACACCTCTACCCCGCTATAACGCGACCCGATATAATACGGGTTCGCATATAGCATGGTAGCAGTGGGGCTCTGGCGGCGCTTTAAAGGGTCCGGGGCTCTGGCTGCTGCGGGGAGTCCTGGGCCCTTTAAATCACCACTGGAGCCCTGCTGCTGCTACTTCGGGGCTGTGGCAGCGGGGCTCTGCCGGTGATTTAAAAGGCCCAGGCTCCCTGCAGCATCTGGAGCCCAGAGCTCTTTAAATCACCACTGGAGTCCTGCCGCCACTACCCCGATATAACAGCGTTTCACCTATAACGCGGTAGGGATTTTTAGCTCCCCACAACTGCGTTATATCGGGGTACAGGTGTATTATTTATGGGGAGAAAATTAATGCATTATAATGGCCAGTGCTGTTCGTGTAGCTGTAAATAAAGACCTACCAGCGTTTTCACAATAAATTTCTATTTCAGAAAGTTATGACTTGGCTTTAAAAAATGGATTATAACAAAAATTTATAGTTTTTAAGACCAGAAGAGACCATTATGACCATCTTGACCTGCATAACACAGCCTATATAATTTCACCCAGTAAAATTTATCCTATCCTCTTCTTCTACTTGCTCAGAACCAAGAGGGTGCTGGAATAAAGTTAAAGCTGATATTCATTATTATTATTGTTCTTTAGCTGTCCCAGGAACATAAATATTGATAAAATTCCATTAGTAAATTAAAATTTTTAATGGGACTTTGAAACTGCTTAATCAATTTGGTATTTGGGCAGCTGTACTGATATTAACAATTCTGGGCACAACAGTGGTAGAATTTCTTATATATTACAATAAAAATTAAAAGTGGATTCCACAGCCGATTAATCACTTTTTTTCATTTAAAGCTATTACAACCTTAGGGTCACATCTTGCTTGCCCGACTCACATGAGTATTACTGTTTGCATTAGTAAGGAGGGCAGCAGTTGGATCTTTGTTATTTATTGTAAAAGCATTATGAAGTCTTCCAAATTTTCTCCTGCTTCTTGTATAATCTCTCCCCCCCCCCCCGATTTCTCTGATTCATGCACTTTGCTTTGGACTGTAGAAGAGCTGTTTCTAATATTTAATTAGGACAACAGATGTTGATAACATATATTTTATTATTTCCTGAATTTTGGTTGCTGTTTTCTTCTCACCTGGTCTATATTTAGCTAATAATATTAATACAGAGTGTTAGTTTATCATTTGTTTTTTAAATTAAAAGTTATCCTTGTGTAAAAAGCTGAATGGTCAATCTTGAGTTAAGGCTGACAATCAACATCAGATTCACGCCACTGAGCCAGATATGACCCTTAGATATGTATATGTGTCTCCCACTGCACTGGCAGTTGTATATCTGCATCAGAGTGTAGAACATGCATCTCTGTGGGAGAAAGTTAGATCTCTAATATTATTTAAATCTATGATCTTGGTCTTTAATTTCCTTGGGCCAAAACTTCTGGTCTAATAAAGGACCCCAGGAGGCTCTGAATTCAGAACAAGTACAGTTCTACTGTGCAACGGGAGCCACAATGCAGAGACTTCACAGATCTGTATTTCCTATGTACTGCAGAACACTGCTCCACAGGATCTCTATCTGCTGATAGGAGCAGATGGAGAGTTTGGGGGTGACATGGTGGATTGACAAAGATATAGGGTGGTAACCAGTGAATCTGTACTAGATAAATCCACCAACCTAACCTTCTCCTCCCTGACTCCCCCAAGTCTGGCGAGTGTTTTTTTGACTGCTCCAAAGCTGAGGGAGAAGGAACATGGGGAGGTGGCAAGCTGGATTGATTTAAATCAAAGCAATTTAAATCAGCAAGCAGGAAACCTTGATTTAAATAATCAAGTTTAATCATGTTTTGCATTTGTACGTTTTAGTTATTTTCCTAAAGAAAGGTTGATTTCAATTGGTTGGAAACCATTAAAACATGTTGATTTGCTACTGAAATAGCCTTTACACTAAGTTTGGTACTTTTTTTTGCTAACCAGCAGGATATGCTATATGTATAACCCATTCATTTCAGCAGTTATATGGTATAAGATACATTTATTCAGATTCTTAATTTTTATTACATTAGAAAATGGTGAATGATGCCTTTATTATTTACTAGATAATAATTAATTGTTTACTTGTGATTTGTGTCAAGGTTATCAAAATCTGTTCTACACTGAAAACTTACTGATTTATTAAGCAAAGGAAGTGGCTTTAGTTTATTTTTGGTCACTGTGTCCTTCAAGATTTTAGAACGAGATCTCATCCTCTCACACTTAGTTTGTATTCACAGACTGGAAAACAAGCTTTCCTGCTTTTTCAACTCCCAATAGGTTTCTTAACTTTGAATAAAATAGTCATTGAACTGAAGTAGCTGAATAAACTGAAATGAAGAAAATATCCTCTGTACCTGCAGAAGCGGCTACTGCTGTAAAAAGCTGATTGAGCATTTCAACAAACTGGTTCTAGTGCTTAGCCAGTGACTTCCACCAGTTCAGTGCTACTCTACCCCGCTGTTTACCCAGGGGGGGCCTCAGTGGATGATCTAGCCTATATGACAGTCAAGAAGGCCTTTTTCAAACTGGAAAGCAGTACCCTGTGGGAAGGTTTTCCATGTGGCATCTGGTTCCCCAGTCCAAGAATGCAATCATGTCTTTTGCATGTGAGGGTGGTAGAAAGGAGCTCTGTGTCTCCTCCCCCTGTTCTGCCCTTTATATCTATTTTTAGTTGATTTTAATGAGGTCCAACTTGAAACCTGTGTAATCATTTTCTTCAAGTTATTTTTTTAAATGCTGATAGCAGTCAGAAGGGGAAAGAAACAGAACATATTGGGGGGCACTAGGACACTGGCAGTTCGTCTTAGAGTGAAGTTGACATGCCTGTCTCTCAAATGGCCAAAAATCTTTGAGAGCTAGGGAGCAGAGACTGAAGAGTTAGTATCCAGTCAATATGGTATTTTACAGAATAAACATCTCTGTCCTTTGTCTTTTTTCACCTCTTAATCAAAACTGAAACATCATCCCGTTGAGGTGAAATCACTGGATACTCTAGGAGCTTTGATAGCAAAACTGAATCTGGGGAGAGCTTAGATGTATGTATTTCTAAGATCCTTCCAAATAGAGTCAGAGCACTCACACTATACTCTACGGACACACTTCAGAGATGTGGCATGCAGAATATTTGAGGGCCAAAGCCAATAGTTACTAGTACTCATTTTGGATCAAAAAACAGACAGACATTCTCCAAACATACATTTCTGAATCTAGTAAAAGAAAAAAAGGCACCCCCACCTCTCTTACTTATAACTTACTAAGTTAAAAACTGAGTGAACTCCAAGACCATCTTTTCTCCTCCCTTTCCTCTTCCATCTATGCCATTATCCGCCAAATGCAATTTAACTAACCACGGGCCAACTTCAGTTTTCTTTTCTTTTTTTTTAGTTCCTGCAAGAAAAAGACCCAGGATTATTTTGGAAAAACCCTGTATTAGGGGTGTGACTCTAATAGCAACAGGAGCTGTGTGCAAAATTCTGCATGTCCTATGCTAATAGTAGGGGACACATTTTTAAACTAAATAGCTCTAGCAAACATACATGCTTATCAATTGCACAGGCAAAACCCACGGGCAGAGGCGGGTCCTGGAGCTTTCAGCCACTGGCCCCGGAGTTCCAGCAGCCATGGGTTGTGGGGGCACACAGAGTTCCCAGCCGCCACAGGCCTCCCCCTCATTATTTTTAGTAAAAGTCACCAACAGGTCACAGGCAATAAGCAAAAATTCACAGAAGCCTGTTGGTTATTTATAGTAAAAAATAACTGTGACAAAATCTTAACCTTACTTCTTATTGATCACACATTATGGTGGTTCATGTTAAGCCGCAAAACAATTGGAGAAGCATGGTTTGGAGACTTACTTATATCAGCGAAGCAATTCACTGGATAATTTCCATATAGCTGATAAAGATATTAGACCAAATGTAGCCTACAGTATGTAGTTGCATGTTTTTGATTAAGAACAATGGTGACAAACAGCAGTGTGAGGTATAAGTCCAGTGTAAACTAGTTCTAAGCCATGTGTAATTGGCAGTGTAGTGTAACTTTCACCGGTTTAAATAAGAACAGCCATAATGGGTCAGACCAATGGTCCATCCTGTCTTCCAATAGTGGCCAATGCCAGATGTTTCAGAGGGAATGAACAGAACAGGTAATTATCAAATGATACATCCTCTGTCATCCACTCATAGTTTCTGCCAAAGAGCGGTGAGGGACACTCAGAGCATGGTGTTGTATCCTTGCCCATCTGGTTAGTAGCCATTGATGGACTTATCCTCCATGAATTTATCTACTTCTTTTTTTAACCCTGTTATAATTTTGGCCTTCACAACATCTCCTGGCAAAGATTTCCACGCAGTGCACAATGTGAAGTAGTATTTCCTTATATTTTTTTAAACCTCCTGCCCTGGGGTGGCCAAATGAGCCTTTTATCGTTAAAGTGCGGCTCCCCCATTCTCCGCCTACCAGACTGGGGGGGGGGAACCCCACCACCGCCTTTGTGTCATCTGCAAACTTGACGAATATGCTCTCTATACCAACATACAGGTCATTAATAAAGATGTTAAACAACACCGGACCCAGAACTGATTTCTGTGGAACCTCACTTGAGACCTCCCTCTAATCCGACATCATTCCATTAATAGTCACTCTTTATTTGTGGCTGTTTAACCAATTATGTATCCACTTAATGATAGTTCTGTTGAGCCCACATTTCTTCAGCTTACTTATCAGAATGTCATGTGGAACTGTCAAAAGCCTTGCTGAAGTCCAGGTATATTTCCATTACCCACCAAATCAGTTACCCCGTTAAAGAAGGAAATCAAGCTGGTTTGGCATGATTTGTTCTTGGTAAATCCATGCTGGCTGCTAGTGATTATCACTTCATCCCCCACGTATTCACAAATTGAATGTTTTATACACTGCGTTAGTAACTTCCCAGGTATTGAAGTTAGGCTGACTGGTCTGTAGTTTCTTGGCTCCTCCTTTATAAAGATGGGTACCCTTCTCAAGTCTTCCGGGATCTCTCCAGTCATCCATGAGTTTATTGCCAGTGGCTCTGAGATTTCTTTAGCTAATTCCTTCAGTATCCTCTGGTGAATAGTATCTGGCTGGCCCTGCTGATTTGAATCCATTCAAATTGATCAGAAGATCTGACATGTTCTTTACTTATCCTGATCTACACCCCTTCCCCTTTATTGTCTATGGTAACTTCACAGTCATCCAGTCACATGTTATTTTTTGTGAGAAGACTGAAGCAAAGTAGGCACTGAACAGCTCTGCCTCCCTATCATCTTCCATTACCAGCTCACCTTCTCCATTGAGCAGCAGACCCACACTGTCCTTGATCTTTTTTGTCTGACATATTTGAAGAATTCCTTCCTATTGGTCTTTAACCTTTTTTGCCAGCTGTAACTCATTCTTTGCCTTGGCTTTCCTGATTTTGTCCCTGTACGCTCATGCTATTCCCAGGTATACTTCCTTGGGTGACGTGACCCGCCTTCCATTTCCTGTATGTGTCCCTTTTGGTTTTTAGATAGCTAAAAGGTCCTTGTGCACCCATATTGGCCTCTTATGGCTCTTCTTATCTTTCCTCTGTATCAGAATAGCTTGGTGTTGAGCCTCCAGTATTACATCTCTTGCGAACTGCCAGCCCTTTTTGACTCCTTTTTTTCCTAATTGGTCTTTCCATGGGACCTTGCCTACTATTTCTGAGAGTTGGTTGAAATCAGCCTTTCAGAAGTTCAGTATCTTTGTTTTGTTGTTCTCATGTCCTCCTTTCCATAGGCTCTTGAAATCTATCAGATAATAATCACTTCTTCCCAAGTTCCCAACCACCTTTACGTTCACAACTAATTCATCCCTGTTGGTCAAAACCAGATCCAAAATGGATGAGTCCCTAGTCGTTTCCTCAATTTTCTGAATCAGAAAGCTGTCCCCTACACATGCTAAGAATTTGCAGGACTGTAGCCTGGTGGTCACCCCGCTCATGCCCTAAAGGGCTTAACACAGCCCTGGGAGAGGCTGGGGTGGGGGAAAAGCTAGGCTGATTGTGGGAAGCAGCCACAGGTGGGGCCATGCCCCAATCAGCCCACGGCTGGCCCTATGAGAGGGCTGAGGGCCGGAGACTGGGAGACAATCTCTCTCTAGCTTTTTGAGAGAGAAGGACCTGGCTGCCTGGGAGCTGAGAAGGGTACCTAGGGTGGAGCAGTGCTGGGGAAGGGCAGAGGGAGCTGGGGAGCTTCAGCCTAGCAAAACCCCAGGCTGCAGGCCTATTTAAAGGCCTACAAAAGGCTACTGGGGCTGCAGAGAGGCAGCCCAGAGTTAGGCAAAGGCACCAGGTCCTAACCCCCTTGCTGATGATTAGTGGTTTACAGACAGCAGTCCGCCCCAGCGAGCAGGGGCTAGATGATGACTGGCAGTAGCCACCGAGGCAAGATGAGGATAGAGGGTTGGGTGGGGAGATCCAGATTGGGGATTACCGCTGGGGCAGAACCCTGATGTAAAAGGCACCAGGGTCCGGGAGGGACACGGGGGCCAGCAGCAAGCGAGACACCGGCCTGTAGAGGGCACTCCAAGCTGGAAGAGCTAATTCCCGAGACGATCAGCAGGAGGTGCCGCGTCGGTGAGTTGTCGCCCCGCCACAAGGATGTATTATGTTTTTCTGCAATAGTCTTCCAGTGGATATCAGGGAAGTTAAAATCCCCCATTAACACTAGCTCGTGTGTTAACTAATCTTGTTAACTGCTTGTAGAATGACTTATCCACTTCCTCTTCCTGATGTGGTGGTCTATAATAGACTCCCACTATAACATCATTACAGTAACTCCCCACTTAATGTCCTCTCACTTAACGTTGTTTTGATCTTACATCCCTACTCAATTACAGAACATGATCTGTTTAAAGTTGTGCAATGCTCCGCTATAACATCGTTTGGCTGCCTGCTTTGTCCACAGCTGGCAGCCCTCCTATCAGCTCCCCTAAGACACCCCCCCCCCAGCACCTCCCGCCTGCTGGCGGATCCCGCGGATTAGCGCCTTCCCCCTGCTCCCCCCACATCCTGCCCACGGCAATTAGCTGGCTTGTGGCGTTCAGGAGGCAAGGGAGGAAGGGGGAGCCTGCGTGCCGAGTCCTTGCTCTTCCCCCTTCCCTCCTGCCCCCTGAATGCCTCAAACCAGCTAATTGCCGTGGGCAGGGGAGGGACGGGGGAGGAGTGAGGATGCGGCATGCAGAGTAAAGGGAGAGGAGGAGGGAAGAAGGGGCGGGTTAAGGATGGGGAAAGGGTGGAGTGGGCGGGCCGAGGGTTGAGCCCCCCGCCCCTCGTGCTTGCGGAGTAGGGGAAGCTGCCGCTGCTGCTGCGCAACATGCTTCTCCTAGCCTACAGCACCTTCAGCTTCCTTGCTTGCTTCATTGTCTTTAGTGCCAGGGGGCTGTGCCTGTGTGGGGTAAGGCAGGGGCACCTCCCAACTATAGCACTGTATGTATGTACAGTATGTTTGTAAACACACAGCACGTGCACACTACACCCTTCCCCCTGCCCCCCCCACCCCCCCAGCAATTTACTGTTGCTTTATGGCCCAATGGCCCTGCTCAGGAACAGGGCTCTACACCAAGCGCTTGCGAGGCCACCAGTTGCCTGCAAAGCAGCTGTGGGTGGTGCACAGCAGAGGCCCGGCCTTGCTATAGAATAAATAATGTTTTATCTGCTCCCCACCCTTCGCTGGAGGGAGGTAAGAACACAGGGGGCAGCAGCCCACCCAAAGCAAGGTACAGGAATAGCGTTCCAGCGCCTGCTTCGCTATAGTAAGAGGGAGAAGCGGCGTAAAGATGCACAGAACCTGGCCCTGCTCCCATGAAAGTCTGTGAAATGCACAGGAGCTTTGCCATTCACTTTAATGTCAGGTGCATCTCTCTGCCCCTGTATGTACACAGCAGAGAGGGGCACAGCCCTGCATCAAACGCTATTTTCCTCCTCTTACTACACTGGCTGCAATGCTGCTCAGGTGCTGAGTGCCTGGTTACTGGGGAGATACAGCAGGGCCATTTTTCCAGGGCACCCTAGAAGAGAGGCCTTCGGTTCTCCAGCAGGGCTCCTGTGAAAGTAAGAACCTGCAAGAAAGTAAGAACCTTCATAACTAATCCTTGCCTAAACCCAGAGGGCTTCCAGTAGGGGAGCAGATTACCATGGAGAATGACATGGGTTTTCCAAATTCTTTCCCTTGCAATAGTTGATTGATGTTGCATGACCCCGGCCACTCCAGGTTGAAGGGAGTGAAGAGTAGCACACGCACGTGCGTCCGGAGGAGCATCACCCAGCATCATGAGTCAAAAGCGTCCAGCAAGTGATAGTGGAGTGCCTAGCAGTAGCAATACCACTAGCAGCAAGAAAACCAGGAAAACAATTAGTTTGGGTACTAAATTAGACATTTTAAAGTATTTTAATGCAGGCGAGCGTGCAGTAGACACTGGCATCGCTCTAGGTCTTACTCCAACCACTGTGAGAACAATTCGGAATAATGCCGACAAGATCAGGGCTAGTGCTCAGTGTGTAACACTGCTTAGTGCTACTACAATAAGTCGATCAAGAAGTAGTTTGCTGGAAAACATGGAGCGTCTTCTCTCACTGTGGATAGAGGACCAAAACTAGCAGAACATACCTCTAAGTTTGCTAGTGATACAAGCTAAGGCAAAAAGTTTGTATGACAATTTGAAGAGGGACCAAGGTGAAGGATCACAGACAGAGACTTTCACAGCAAGTCGGGGATGGTTTGATCGGTTCAAGAGGCACTTCCATCTGCATAACATCAAGATGTCCAGAGAGGCGGCTAGTGCTGATACTGCAGAAGCTAAAAAATTCCCCGACTATCTCAAGAAAATAATTGTGGAAGGTGGCTGTTCCCCTAAACAAGTCTTCAATGTTGATGAAACAGGCCTGTACTGGAAGAGGATGCCTGAGGAGACTTACATTTCCCAAGAGGAGAAGACAGCGCCCGGATTTAAAGCAGCTAAAGACCATCTAACCTTGCTTCTAGGTGATAATGCTGCCGGAGACATGAAGATGAAACCACTGACAGTGTACCAATCTGAAACACCACGTGCTCTCAAGGGATTTTCAAAGGAACACCTTACAGTCTTTTGGCGATCCAATAGGAAGGCATAGATAACTGGAGCTATTTTTTCAAAATGGCTGACTCTCTATGCTCTCCCTGCATGGAAGGAATACTGTGCCAAAGAAAATCTTGATTTCAGGATTGTATTGCTTATTGATAATACACCGGCTCATCCAATCAACCTGGACGACCTGTGCGAAAACGTCAAAGTTATCTTTCTGCCGCCTAACATCACATCACTCATCCAACCCATGGACCAAGGAGCCATCACTACATTTAAGGTGTATTAGTTATGCCGTACTTTCGACCAGCTCATCAGAGGCACCGATGGGGAAGGCAAACCTACGATTCAGCAATTTTGGCCTGACTACAACATTCTAAAGTGCATCAATAACATTGGTGAGTCCTGGGCTGAAGTTACTCAGGCATACATGAATGGTGTGTGGGGGAAGTTGTGGCCTGAATGTGTCAATGACTTAAAAGGATTTAAAGATGTTGTCCCCGCTATGAAGAAAGATATCCTCGACTTGGCCAAGGAAGCAGGTTTTGAGGACGTGGAAGAAGCCCATGTTACACAACTTCTGCAGTCACATGGAGAAGAGCTAACCAATGAAGATCTGATGCAACTAGAGGTGACGAGAGAAATGGAAGAAGAGGTCCAAAAAGTAGAAGAACCACCAACCCATCGAAATTTGACTGCCAAACGTCTTTCAGAAGCTTTCCAAATGATTGGAGCTGGCTTGCAAATCCTGAGTGATAACGAACCTGACAGGGAACACAGCTCCAAAGTGATTAGGGGAGTTGGTCATCTAATGACTTGCTATAAAGAAATTTACCAAGAAAAAAAAAAAGGAAAGCAAAACAACAATCTCTAGATGTATTTTTTCGAGTTCAGAAAGTTCAGCAAGAGGAGCAGCTGGACAATCCACCCTCTTCCACTCTCTGACTCCACCACCTCAACCAAGCTTCATACTCAGCAGTGATGATTGTAGTATTAAATTGTTTCTTTAAAATTGTTTAAAACTTATATCTGTATTAAATTGCTTGTTTAAAATTGTTTAAAATGTATATAATGCCTTTTGTCTGGCAAAAAAAATTCCCTGGAACCTAACCCCCCATTTACATTAATTCTTATCAGGAAATTGGATTTGCTTAACATCATTTCACTTAAAAGTTGCATTTTTCAGGAACATAACTACAACGTTAAGTGAGGAGTTACTGTACTGTTCTTTCTCCTTGTTATCCTCATCCAGAGACTCTCAGTAGGTCTGTTGCTCACTTCCCCTTGGACCTCTGGGCAACTGTATACATTCTTGACATATCGTGCAACACCTCCTCGTTTTTCTCCATTCCTATCCTTTTGGAACAAGCTATATCCCTCAATGCTGGTACTCCAATCATGGGAGTTGTCCCACCAAGTCTCTGTGATGCCAATTAAGTCATAATTTTCTTCATACAACATGAGTTCCAGTTCATCCTGCTTGTTTCCCATACTCCTGGCATTTGTATACAGGCATTGAAGATAATTTAAATATGAAATATGAGCTATCAGGTTTTCTATAGGGTTAAAGAAAAAAGGATGCTTCCAAATTATCAAACTTGATAATGTTTGATTGTTCCTGCTCAAGCCAAGAACATTCTTGAGTAGCAGAAAGCCATTTTCATACAAAGCAAATTCTTAATTTCTAAGCTTCATCCAGGTCCTCATTTTCTATACAGGAAACATTTTGCAGGTTGAAACACTTGAGAATATATTGTTATGGCCATTTTTCCTTGGTTTAAGATATCAAATGTCTGGAGCTTTGGTATTTTACTTCTGTAAAGTTTTCATGAAATTGAAAGGTGATGCTTAACATAAGGGCAAAAAGTGTGTGATTTTTTGTTAGCATGCTTGTCTTGCTAGTTCACATTCATTGCACCAGAATGCGATATATAGGAAATAGGAATTGTATACATGAATTAATAAAAATAAAAATGAATGATTTTTAGTTTTGGTCAATAGTACATAACTATTAAAAATACTGGATCAATCATTAGCCTGCATAGCTTAAAGTGATGTTCTTTGAAAAAATACTATACAAATGGCATAAATAGGTTCCATTTCTATTATTTCTCAGTGACTCCATATTAAATGTGTTCAGTTTCTGTGTAAAAATGTGGTTTTCCAACAACCAGCCCCACAAACACACCCTGGATTGTTGACAGTATAAACTTATACAATCAGCTGGGTCTGGATTCCTGTTGGTGATGTACAGCAATAAAAAAACTCAGCTTGACTTTCAAATCCCAAGGTGCTTTTACAGCACTGAGAGAAAAAAAATCTTTTTACTTGTAAACTGAACATGAGAGATCTGGAGTCAGAGAGAGACAATCAAAATGGAATTCCACAATGTCATTTTTACAGTTACTTTACAGAGTAAAAGTGCACATTAATGGTTCTTCTACAATAGCTAAGGTTAATCGTTCAAGATTGAAAACCTAATTTTGAAATGATCTGTACAAAAGAGGAATAATGAGAAATAGAGTTCTCCTTTGTCAGCACATCTCTGCCTGGAAGCACTAGACCACTCCAGCCCACTTGTGTGCTGTTTAATTGTGGTTTTAATAATCACAGTGCCACACTATGGGTCAGATCTTGCCCACCTTTTATGCAAGTGCAGAGCCTGGTCAAGAGCAGAGGGCTGTTAGGACCCTTTCCCACTCCTTTTGTTGCCTTCACAAGGACCAGTCTGGATTGCTGTCCTGGAGCTCAGGGCAGCATAGGGACTACTCCCCTCCCTACTCCCCTGAGGCACACAGTGCTCTATAGCAGTTGAGGATGAAGTGGGGCAACAACCTTGCTGCTCTCCACACCAGCCTGCATAGAACTGGTGCACAGAGGTAGTGAGCTATACCCCAGTAGTGTAGTAGCAAGTACACTCCCACGGTGCACCAGGGAGCTCTGGGAGGCATTTTGCTATTTCTAGTGCTATTTCTGGCCTAGTGCAACTCTACCCCACTGTTTACCCAGGGGTGGGCCTCAGTGGATGATCTAGCCTATATGACAGTCAAGAAGGCCTTTTTCAAGATTTTCCATTACTAGCTTGTTGTGGTGACAAAAACACTGGAGACAAGAGCAGTAGTGAGAGAGGAAGGGTGATGGGGGCTTTAAATCAAGATTGGTTGTCTTTCTAAAAGACACCACACCTTGTTGTGCTAGATGTAAAAAGCACTGGGTGAAATTCTATGGCCTGTGTCATGCAGGAGGGAGGTGAGACTCTCCCCCCCCTTCCCCTCCCGGCCTTAAAATCTAATGATGGGGAGGGGGAAGCAGGAGAACCGAACCACGCATGACAGATGGTAATCACATTGCTTAATGTGCTATTGGAAGATTCTCAGATACTACAATGATGAGGACTTATGTGTAATAGAATAAAACCACACAAAAATGAACTGTACCTTTTCTTTTCTTTTCCTTCCTCATACTACTTTCCACAGTGTTAGAGTTTCCTGTTTTGGAAGCAACGTTCAAGCCAGAAGCTGTTGAATGGATACCCAAACCCTTGTCTGCTGTTTGTAAATAAGAACAGCCATTCAAACAGTTGCCAATTCATGGAGTTATACACAATTTTTTGGAACGTGCAGTATTAATTATTTGATATACACTCTCCCAAGTTTACATTGTCCTGGATGCTGAGGGACATTTACCATAGAAGGATCTACATAGCTATTTAATTTTTTCCATCAGAGATAACAATTTTGTGGGTGGAAAAAAGTTGGCATATTTCAGCACAAAGTTTCTATGCTATTTTTGCTTATTTCTGATTTCTTATATCCCTTGATATAGTTTAGCTAGTATTATCGTTTGGGAAAGTTTGAGCATCTTTTACACTGCAGTACATTCACCATTATATAGATGCTCCATTTATCTTCCTCTCGAGAGCATATAGCCAGATTCACCCTTGGAATGCAGCTTGCATCCCCCTGTGTCTGCTGGGACAGCCACACCAGTAGTTCTGCAGGGAGGAGGCATCTTAAATTCAAGCCATCTGAGCCATTTTGGTGGAAGTTGCCTGAGAGAGATGCTGAATTTGGACAGCTCACATGCAGGCTTCCCCTGCTATAGTTGATTGAAAAATGCGAAAACACTTTCATTAATATAAACGTGACTTTTTAAATGAAAATTAAAAAAAAATATTTCCAGAAAATGTTCATTGCAATATAGAAAATGTCTTGACCACTCTACTTCCCCACCACCTTTAGGCTGCCATGCTTGTTTTGGGGACTGCATTTGGCCATCCCCAGACTGAGCAGGGATCCCTGGCAGAGAGAATGGTTTGGACAGTCTATGCAGTTACATGTCTGCTGCAGGTACACTAATCATTATCAGAGACTTGAAGCTCAAGGAGCGAATTGACCAAGGACAGTAGTTTGAATTACTTTCCAAACTTAAATAGCCTCTGAAACAAATTGATGTTAATGGATGTTTTGTAAGTTATTAATTTATGTGCTTCCCAAATGCAACTTTCACTACTTTTATTCATAGTGGTTTTGCTTTTCAGGTATAAATACATAGCTGCTTAAATGTTTCTGGCCAAATCTCGAGGATCCTTTCTCAGTCAAGGGGATAAATATGTAAACATTAAACAATGGGAGCAAATTAAACAGTAAAGGGTATTTACAAAACAAAACTGGTCTTTAGCTCAAATGGAACTTATTTATTTTGTCATGTTTAAATTTGGGTTCTAGACACATTTTATTATTAGCACTTGCATATTTAATCCTTCAGATTAAACACATTTTTATGATATCTTTTTAAACATATCCTTTTAAACACCAAACACCAAAATTCTCTGAAACAAGACATTACAAAGTGCACTGTAGAGACAGCATGAAATGACTGTACAGCATGCTTTGTCTGTCTGTCCCAGGTGCCAAGAAGAGAACAATTTTACATGAATGTAATGGGAGTACAGTAAATGCTTGCATAGGCTATTACTAGTAGTAAGTATAATTTTAAACAAAAAATTGAAAAATGATAATTTTCTCTAATCCAAGCGCCATCTCCAGATAGTCTCACCTTCTGGTATTTGATGATCAGAATAATTGTTGAATAGTAAGGCATTTGTCTCCTTATCTCTTCCAAGATTGTCTGCATACATAGCTATTGGTGTGATGAGCTCAAGGGCACCCAAACATTGCAAGTTGTTACCATTTAGATAAAGATTGCTGTGACAAAAATATAATTTTAAATATTTGATTGATGTTCCATCACATTTAAACTTGCATTTCATCTTTCTTTTCTATATTTGGGTTTTATAACAATGTTGTTGAAACTAAAATTATAGTAAAAAGAACAGGAGTACTTGTGGCACCTTAGAGACTAACAAATTTATTAGAGCATAAGCTTTCGTGGACTACAGCCCACTTCTTTGGATGCATATAGAGTGGAATAAATATTGAGGAGATATATATATACACACATACAGAGAGCATAAACAGGTGGGAGTTGTCTTACCAATTCTGAGAGGCCAATTAAGTAAGAGAAAAAAAACTTTTGAAGTGATAATCAAGATAGCCCAGTACAGACAGTTTGATAAGAAGTGTGAGAATACTTACAAGATGATCCTTTACTCTCACAGATCTTGGGAGACAGACCTGTCCTCGCTTACAGACAACCCCCCAACCTAAAGCAAATACTCATCAGCAACCACACATCACTGAACAAAACCACTGACCCAGGAACCTATCCTTGTAACAAATGCCCGATGCCAACTCTGTCCACATATCTATTCAAGTGACATCATCATAGGACCTAATCACATCAGCCATACAATCAGGGGCTCGTTCACCTGCACATCTACCAATGTGATATATGCCATTATGTGCCAGCAATGCCCCTCTGCCATGAACATTGGCCAAACCGGACAGTCTCTACGCAAAAGAATTAATGGACACAAATCTGACATCAGGAATCATAATATTCAAAAACCAATGGGAGAACACTTTAACCTGTCTGGTCATTCAATGACAGACCTGCGGGTGGCTATATTACAACAGAAAAACTTCAAAAACAGACTCCAACGAGAGACTGCTGAGCTGGAATTGATATGCAAACTAGATACAATCAACTCAGGATTGAATAAGGTCTGGGAATGGCTGAGCCATTACAAACATTGACTCTATCTCCCCTTGTAAGTATTCTCACACTTCTTATCAAACTGTCTGTACTGGGCTATCTTGATTATCACTTCAAAAGTTTTTTTTCTCTTACTTAAT